ATTCAGTTTTGTTTCAAACAAATTCAAACTGTCACAATTTGAATTCTACATCTGTTCAAATTGAATTTTGCACCTGTTCATTCAAATTACCTAGTCAGACAGATATAAAGGTCACCTATCTGCCTATAAATACCACACTATTTCCAACAGTTTGAAGATCCGAAATTTTCTTCTTTCCTTCCATTTTGCTCTCTTGAATACATATATTCTTCATACTAGTTTTAGAGAAAATTCTGAGAGTATAGAACACAAGTTTTGTTCGCCGTACAGATTGTTTGGAGTGCTACTACAATTTGTGTAAAGATCATTGTATCTTGGGAGATAGACGTCATTTATCCGTAAGTACCGAAGTAGGGCGAATCTGTCTTAAGGACAGAATGTCACACACTCGACTTAATCTATTTTTATACTTTTTCACTTCAATAAATAAATTTTGTAAGTAATTTATTTAATTTGTTTCAAGTTATTTATTTTACACAAAAAATTATTCCAATAAGAAACACCTCATCTCATTTTGTTCCTGTTCTTCATTTCGTGGCATCATTATTAAAACTGATTCCGATCAAATTTATCTAGGGGACTTTCCAAAAGTTTCCCCTACAGTGCCCTACTAATTTCTCATGAAAAATACAGTTGCTCCATTAACAATATTTTAAAATAAGAAAACAAATTCACTGAGTTGTTAACTAACAAGGGAGTCACTCAATAAGGACATGTGGTTGTTACTAAAGACCCTTCTAAACGTGGGGAAATTTTATGGTATACAACTCTTGTATTATATATTTCTTATTACGAATTTTTGTGATGTGTTATGTGCTTTTTATAAATATTGCATTTTTTTTATTAAAAGAGTTTCGATAATTTGTGATTGAGAAATGAAGTTATGTATTTTTGTAGTAATATTACGTATTTTGTAATATTATTACACATTTTGTTATTAGAAAATGTTTGGATAAAAAAAATGTATAACATTTTCACAAAAATACGTAGCACTATCACAAAATACGTAACTTTATTTATAAATCATAAATTGTCATAACTCTTATAAAAAAATACGTAATATTTATCACAAAAATATGTACTATTTATACCAAAATACATAATAAGTGTATAAGGGATCTGTACCATAGTATTTCCGTAATCACATAATGTTAATAGCCATCTTGCGTACTAGGGCTTAAGGTTCTCATTTTTATCATTTTTTTAGCTTATTTGTTTTTCTTGTTTTTCATATGTAATAATTAGCGATTGATACATGTGCAATTCAAATAAGAAAACATAAAATAAAATAATTATTATACATTGTGTGTCACTAAAATGGTAAAGTTTTGTTTACCAAACTAATATCTTCAAATCCGATTATATTCTCTATCTAATTTTTTGTTTTAAATAAAAGAAATAGACACTTGGTATAAGGAGACTAGTTTTCAAGGTACGACCAAAGGTTTTCACATTATAATATGTAATTAATAGTTGACACACGTGATGTATGTGTAACTCAAAGAAGTAAAAATAAAATAAAATATTTACTATATACTATGTAAATGTTAAGAGTCTTTTTTATTAGATCTAATAGTATAGACACAGATAGACAAATAGATAATATAGATAATAATAACAAAAACAAATTGGGAAATTTTTTTTAAGGTCCCTGGTATTAAGATTTTACAGCATAAAGGACACTCAATATTTTCATAATGTCTAAGGTCCCTCAAGTTGATCCGGAGAAAATTGGTCCAGAGAAATTCTGGACTTCCAAAGAATTTCTCTGGATTCAACCCAGAGAAAATTCAAATTTCTCTGGGTTCAGTTTGACCAATTTACAATCAGCATTGGTATCCCGTAGAACACAGAACAAATTAAAGCCGCATTGACCTAAAGGATCGCACTTATTCATCGTAGAATTCCACCAAATCGACCATTTACCATTCGAATCCAATGTATGTGAATAAGCTCTGACAATTCCGTCCACGTCAAGTCTCACCATATAAATCTTTGCTTCCTTTGTAGGTGGTTCTGCATCAGTTACATTGTGTATATTATTGCATGTTGCATTGAGAATGTAGAGATGGCTATCAACGTCTAGATTCAATGTGCAATTATCTCCACTTCCAATAGTGCCTGATTGCCAGTAAACATATTGCAATGCTATTCCAGACTGCGGAAGCGACTTCGGAATTTCTCTCCAGAGAAATTCTAGATTTATCTCCAGAGAAATTTTAATTTCTCTGACTTTGGAATGTGTTTTAACCAAATTTCTCTGACTTCGGAACGTGTTTTAACCAAATTTCTCTGACTTCGGAATTTATCAAATGTGTTTTAACCAAATTTCTCTGACGATGTTGTCAACTACAAGGGTGAGGATAAGCAGTTTGCAGCTGAGGAAATTTCTTTCATGGTTCTCATCAAAATGTGTGAGATTGCAGAGGCGTTCCTTGGTTTCACTGTCAAAAATTAATCCTCTACTAGCATAAAACAATCTACAATCCTGCAAACTCCTCTGATTCGGCAAACTCTGTAAACAATCTCCATTGACAACAACATAGGTCCTTGTATTACTGGGAGCTGGACCTTGAAAATAATTATCGGACAAGTCAACCACCACGCCAGTGGCATTGAAAAATGCAATAAAGTTCGGTTGGAATGGATAAGCTATAAGTGAAAGCTTTGTAGTCAAATTTCTCTGATATGATACATGGTGTGGGTTTAGGGACCTTAGACATCAAAAAATAATATTGTGGATCTCTTCCATTACTAAAAATGGGAGAGGGACCCCAGACTAATTTTCCCAAACAAATTAGGTGCAATTCAACATAAAAAAATGTCTTTTATTTTATTTTATTTATTTATAATAATTTTGACAGAAAATTAAGACCTATTTTGACAATTTATTTTTTTAACTCAAAGGTCAAGAAGTCATTATAAAATCTATTATTCTCTTTATTTTTTACATGTCTTTTTATAAAAAATTAAAAAAATAATTTTCAAAAAACAAATTTAAACTTTAAAATAGTATAATATAATTTATCAAACCAGTGCAACTTTTTTATATTTTGAATAATTACAAATATACCTCTAAGGTTTGCAAAATACAATTTGTCCCTTTAGTTCTGGAAATTACATACTGCATTTTGAAGTTTTTCATTTCAGAACAAATGACCCATTTTATTAAGGTCTCGTTTGAGAACAAGTTGTTTTAGTAAATTTTTGACTTTTTATGAAAAGATGTACATAAAAATAGATAGAGTGATATGACAATTTATAGTGACTTTTTGACTAGAATGTTTAGTCCCTAAACGAGGCTTAATAAATTATCAAGTCAATTAATAATTTATAATGGCGTAAGAAATATTTTTTAATTAATAATTCATATAATTTTATTATTGTATAAGACAATAATAAGAAATTTTATTTTTTAAATTAATTTTACTAAATAAATTTTTTTGACAATATGATATTTATAATTTTTCAAACTAAAAGAGATATTATCCAATTTTTTTTTTTAAAAGCCAAAAAATGGCTGTCAAACGGGCCTCAATACACCACTGGGGTGGTGGCCTAGTAAAGAAGACATCCCTCTCAACAGGCGTGACTACGTTCAAATCCCAGGAGGTGAAAATGGTTGCTTTGTAGTTGATTTTTTTCGGAGACCTCGCCCGATGCTCTAATCGAAATATGGGTTATCTATAACGTGTGATTGAGGGGTTGTTTGGGATGATCTAAATAAGTATACTTTTTTACTTTTTATGAAATATGGATTGGGTTTGGGTTGGGTTTGAAGTGATGTGTTAGAGAGGTAATGTGACTTAAATAAAATGATGTAACTTAAATAAAATAGTGACTTTTTCACTTTTTAACTTTTTTTTAAACATGATAAACTAATAGGAATGGCAACGGGGAGGGGCGGAGCGGGGCCGGGGATCACCCTCCCCGTCCTTGATGTTGGAAATCCCCCTGACCCCAGATCCGGCCTCGATCCCCGATGGGGAACCTATATCTGCCCCCACCCTTACACCCGCCCCCTAACAGGGATCGGGTTTCCCTGATCCCAAAAAATCCCCAGCCAAAAAAAAAAAATTAGATACAACAGATTGGTTCATCATCAACAACAAGAACGTAGAGAGAGAGAGAGATCTGATGCTCAAATGTAAATAAATAAAAAAAATTCAGATCTAACAGATCTGTTCATCACAATTAACAGATCTGATGAGCTCAAAAACAAAAAAATCAGATCTAACATTTATATATATATATAACAAATCGAGAGAGAGGAAAAGTGCTCAAACAGTGATGGTGGTGTCATTACCGGACTACCGCAAACAGTGGTGGCTCAATCGGCGGAGGAGGGAGAGGAGGGCGATCGACGAAGGCTTTGAGAGAGAGAGAGATGAGAGGCAGTAATGAGTGTGTGAGGTGTACAGTGTTGTATGAGTGAAAGGGGTGGCTTGTATATCTATATAAAGAGGGGTAAAACATTAATATTACTTCAGGGAAATTCGGGGCCGGAGACGGGGACGAGTCGAGACTTGAACACTAATCACCATTCCCGGCCCGAAACTGGTCGAGAATTTAATTTCGAATACCATTCTTGTCTGTGTGAGGTGCGCAGTGTTGTATGAGTGAAAGGGGTGACTTGTATATCTATATAAAGAGGGGTAAAATATTAATATTACTTCGGGGAAATTCGGGGCCAGAGACGGGGACGAGTCAAGGCTTGAACACTGATTACCGTTCCCGGCCCGAAACTAGTCGGAGATTTAATTTCGAATACTATTCTTGTCCCCACGGGAATATTTTTCGAAAAAAAAACTAACCTAATCGGGGTTGAAAAATCAAATTCCCGTCAAACCGGGTTCAAATTGTCATCCCCACAAACCAAGCCTGAGTTCTAGGATGCTTCGATGGTGGATTTCTTCTCATGAATTGAGTCCAATCAGACCAGCAACGGCTTATTTTGGAGCTTGGATTGGATCCAAGGATACCGTAATGAGATTTCATAGTATCATTTTTTCATGTTTTGAAAGAAAGAAAAAAAAAAACCGGGGCCTCAGTACGCACTTTCAGCACCAAGAGCGAGTGAACCCGCAGCTGTACTCCTGCTGCAACAACACCTCTTCTCTCCCTCGCCTTCGGGCAACCACAAGAAGCTACACACACATTACATTCATAAAATCTCGAGAGAAAAACAGTGATGAGCACAACCCAGAAACCCAAACAACAATCACATCAATCATTACCCAACATGACCTCTCAACCCTGAATCAATCAATCAATCAATCAAACAAACCCCTCCATAAACCCCCAAAATTCCCTTCTTCACACCACCACCACCAATGACTATACATTCAGTTGTCATCCAAAAACTCCTCAGCACAAACGCCCATCTAGGCCGCCGAGTCGCGGCCCACCACTTCAAAATCTACACCTATGGCTCCCGCAACGCAATGACCATCATCGACTCCGACAAAACCCTAATCTGCCTCCGCAACGCCTGCCAATTCATCGCCAATCTGGTCCGCCAAAAGGGCCGATTTCTCTTCGTCAACACCAACACTCTCTTCGATGAAATCGTCTATCAAATGACCCAAAAAATCGGCTGCGCCAGCGACACTTCGTGGCGGCTTGGCGGCTTCTTGACCAATAGCGGTAGCCCTAAGAAGTTTCGGTCCCGGAACAAGAAGCTCCACCTCGGCTCCATTCAGCCGCCGGACTGTGTTGTGATCATGGACACTCAGAGGAAGTCTTCGGTCATTTTTGAAGCTGATAAGCTTCAGATTCCGATTGTGGGTTTGGTGGATTCGAGTATGCCTTGGGATATTTATAAGAGGATTACGTACCCCGTTCCGGCCAACGATTCGGTGCAGTTTGTGTATTTGTTCTGTAATTTGATCACTAAAACTTTTTTGCTGGAACAGAAGAGATTTGCCGCCGCATTGGGAGCTACTAAGAGGGATGAGCAATTGAGTCATCCAATGACTGATACTGGGTATATTTGCATTTGATTATGTTGTTTTGAGTATGTAAATTGCTGTAAAAATTTAATTTTTTTGTATGAATTTTATGGGTATTTGAATGGACCAACTGAAATTAAATGATAGGAACAAATTGAAAGTATCATATGTTGTGGATCAAATATCAATGTGTTTTATTTACTAATCATAGGGTGCATTGTTGTGCTCATTTTGGTGTCTTAGTTCTTGATTATTATGCAATTTGAATTACGTGACTCTTAGGGCATGTTTGGTATAGTTTATTTATTTATTTTTTATTTCTGTAGATTGGAAAGAGAAAAAAAATAAAAAATAAAAAAAAACAGAAAGTGATATGGAAAACTTGTTTGTCAGACTGTTTTCGAGAAGATTTCTGCAAAACCTTATTTTTTAGACACTTAAAAGTCCAATTTTCGGAAACTGTTTTCGCACAAAAATGTAACGATAGGTGTTTTGCACTTTTCATTATCTTTGTTTATGAAACACAAAAAATGAAAATGAAAGTTTCCCTTAATATTTCTGTAGCATGCACTTCTTGTTGAACTACTTTCATCGTCCATAGTAATCTTGTAGAATGGAGTAAACTTATTCAACCAAAATTGAAGTTGAGTTATCCACAAATGTATAACTAACAGTCTTGTTTTAGTGCATCAATCTTTCTTCAATTCTCATGGATTATTATATTTCTATTTGCGTACTAGTTTAGTTTCAATGTATAGTTTGGCTTAATCTGCCATGTATGTTGTATGTTACATATGGTATTTGTTAATTTTGTCTTATTTCAATGTTTCAATTCTTTGATTCTGCCTAAATTGAATTACATGGTGCTCTTGCATTTGTATACCCTTCATTTGCATTAGTTTATACTCTATGCTAATCTTGTAGAGTAGTGAACTTACTCAACTTATGTTTTACAATATGTATGCATCTGCGTTGTACTATTATGAAAAGTGTTCTTTCTAATATTTGTGATTTTCTTATGAAATTCTTTTATTTCAGTTGTTTCTATAATTTAATTGTATCTAGACCTTATGCATTTAATTTATGTCTTTAGTATTTGTTGAAATGCTTTTCACTTTGTTCTTTTTCTTTTTTCTTTTTCATTCGGATGAAATGTTCATTTTAGAGATGTATCGGAAAATATCAAGCAGAGCAAGACCAGTATTGGGAACAATGAAATCTTTGTTATTCCTTATGAAAGCCTAGGTCTCACTTCTGATGGTAATAACTTGGTCTTTCCTGATGTGTTGCTTGTTTACTCATCGTCAATCTTGTTTTGGTCTCTAGGACCTTATTGTATTTATATAATGACTCAGTGCTCTTATGAGGAGGCTTTCTATGACATTTGACAATGCAGATCCCTTGGAAACCAAGGAGCTCTTGGACAAGCTTGTTGTGTTAAAGTTAAATGGTGGTTTGGGGACAAAAATGGGTTTCAATGGTCCAAAGTAAGCATTTCTATAAGATACCGCAGAAAATTTTCTAATTATTTTATGTTGCAAAAATGAAAAGTAAAGTAAAGGAGACAAAACAAAACAACAGAAATGTGAATTGATGGGAACTCGTATTAATCCTTTTGATATCCGTGGCTTGTTGTCAACTGTACATTGTTTGTGAGTGCAATATGAATATCAATATACCTATAAAGTTGCATGCCTTGAGGACTTACTAGAGGTGATATATGAAATGTACTGCAGTATGTTCTGGATATTGCTTTGGTTGTGCCTTTTTTTTGTTTTTTAAGTTTATAATTGGAGGAAGGAAGAGTGATAGAATCACCATAAATGGAGATGCAATGTGGGTAGGGGCAGACCTACGTTGACATGGGATGTGGTAGTGAAAAAAAAAATTGAATTTATTTAATTTAGCTGAACACAACCCTTGATAGAGTTGAATGGAAAAAAACCGATTCATGTAAGCCGACCCCAATTGATTGCGACACATGGCTTAGTTTAGTTTGGTTTGTAATTGGAAGGAGTAATTGTTTCTTTCAGCTTGATATAATTTTGCTTTTCACCTACTCCATAAATACTTTGATAGAGCCAACCCCAATAATAATATTCTTTCAACTTGATATAATTTTGCTTTTCACGTACTCCATAAATACTTTGAATCAAATGATCAGAAACTAATTTACCTTCTCTTGGTTAAAGTAACTGTTTCTTGTTTAAAATGATGAGTTTTGGTTAAGCAGATCCCGCTTTGTTACCTGAACTTATTATAAAGGCTGCAAAGGAACACTGATTAGTGAAATTGGAAATCTATATTGAAATGGTAAAAACTTTGTTTTCTTTATTTGAGGAATGCTAGTACCTTTGTTTTTGTTTTTTTATCATAAGTACTCATAGTTGTCAAATCGGGACTTGAATCGTGAATCGAAATGGCCTCGTATTGAATTGAGAATCGAATCAAATCAAGAATCGTAAAGATTCGGTACGATTCGGTCACTTTTTCTAATTTCTAAATAACTTAGAAAAATATATCTACACACTTGGATGTTAAATATGTCCGATGAATATGAAATATTTAGACTTAAATCAATGAGAATGTTGTTTTGAATGATGATTACATAGTTTAATAGGTCAAAAGTTTTTAAGGTTCCTACATAAAATCCCCATGTTACCTTTTCTTTTTTTTAGATATTTTTTTATCAACCATTCTTATTAAAGACAGTAAACAAAAACAAACTCTCAATATACATACTTTTTCAAGTAACAATGATCAGATAATAAAAAGAATTATTTAGGATCTTTAATTTCAAAACTTAAAAACATTTTAAAAGGTATAACTGAACTCACACATGTAATATTAAACTATATTTAATTTAATAAAATAGCAATAGGTAATTCATGGTGTAAGTTATTTTAATCTTAAAAATCTTTAGAAGATATGTTATAATTTTTTTAAGAAAAAAATGAGAAGAAATATTAAAAATATGTTGGATTTGACTAAATCTTATTGGATCCTATTAAAAGCTCTATGATAACTAAAATAAAATAACAACAAATCGCGTATATGTATTGGTTATTTTGATAGTAAACGTTATTAGAAGTTGTATTATATCATTTTCACTAAAAAGATAGAGAAAAAAGGAGCCAAAAATATATCGGACCCTATAGTTTCAAGAATTGTATGAGTCGTAAAAAGTGAATCAATTGAGAATCGTGCGATTAACTATAGGTTTACTTTCAAAATATATTAACCCATAGATTCATATTGATTTTGTAAAAATTGTGAAGAAAATCGCGAATCATAAGATTTTGATAACATATCTAGATGCTATATAAAAATGAATTGGTCATTTTGTTTTGCTAAATTAGCTATATTTTTTGTATTCTATATTAGTTTGTTCATAATCAATATTTTGTCATTTTCTAAAATGATGTACATATCAAACGAAGCTTCTTTAGCGAGTATGACTGTGGCTTCAAATGACTCACCTATAGGCTGTTTCTATTTATTTATTTTACTGTGATGTACCTACTTAACTGAACCTTTATGTTCATGTGTAGGTGTGCCATTGAAGTTTGCAATGGATTGACATATCTTGACTTGATTGTTAATCAGATCGAGGTTGGCTTTTGGTCTCTCTTGTTGTATATTGTTTTTCTTGTCTAATCTTTGCTTTCTGAAAACCATTGGTTTAATTTTTGCAGTCTCTCAATTCTAAGCATGGATGCAATGTTCCCTTGATTTTGATGAACACAATCAGAACACATGATAGTACCCTGAAGGTGACTGATATTTTCCATTCCCATTTTGAGTTCTTGACATAAGATATTTGTAGAACCTAATCGCTGCACCTCTTAAATGAAGGCAGTGGAGAAATATTCGAAGAAAACTGTTGATATTCTTACTCTGTGCCAGGTTTGTCACATAACAAATTAAATTTGTTTTATGTTTCTAGATTTTGAAATGAAAATTTATGACTTAAGAAACCTAATTTGTTTTATACAGAACCAAAGTTACCCAGTCAACAAACGACAGGACAGTGAGGATGAAATGTATGTTCAACCAAAGTTACCCAGTCAACAAACGACAGGACAGTGAGGATGAAATGTATGTTCCTCTTTGCATTTTGACACGTTTTCTTCTATTCCTTGTGGCTTGTGGATACTACATAATTTATATGGTGGAAATGCGTATGGTGAGAAATAATTGAAATATTTTGGCTGTGTTTGGCAGGGTTTTTAGAATTTTTATTTTTATTTGTTATAAAGTTACAGGGAACAGAAAACAGAATTCGTACTCCCGTACATAATGTGAAGAGCAGGTTTCTGTTGACAGTTTTTTTTGACTGTACAATGTGTGTTGTGTCAATGTATACAGCATAGGACTATAGTTGAATTTTTGGAAGTACAGTTTTGTATGCATCCTATACACATAGGTGGCTCCTTTGTGTCATTTTAATAGAATTTTAGATATCAGCTAGTTGGGATGTGCCATCTATGACCATGTGTTTTACTGTTTACTTTTCTAGTTTAGTCTAATCTATGTTACATGGACTTTTGTAAGTTTGTGAAGTACCCTTGTCGGATACTTAACTTGACACTTGGGTTAGGGTGTGAGATGTGTGTACAACATGTCTAGTTAGACATGCACCCAACAGATATACTTAAGTATTAAAGTTTGCTACGAAACTACGGATAAGATTCTCATTATATGCATAAAAAGCTTTATGCTGGTTTGGAAATGCTAGTTTAACATAAATAAATGGAACAAGTATTTAAAAGTACGGAATTTAGTTGTGTCTGGGTTTCCTTGGGCCTGAGAATTATATGTATGGACACTTAGATATATACCTGCATCTGACACCCATACTTGAGTCCATGTAACATTGGCCTTAATGTATCATATAGTAGCAAGTCTTAGCTCTACTTGAACTTGTGGTCTGAAGCTTGTAAGCCTGATCTTTTACTTAGTGAATAAAATCTTATAAGGTGGAAGGGTATTACTATTATCTAATAGCTTAAAGACGGTTATAATTAATAGCTTACAAGGGAGTACTTTGTGTTTTATTTTAAGAAATTTAATGAGATCTTGAAGTTTTAAATCTATGAACTTACATTTGAAATTGAATTCCTCCTAAAGCCATTTTGAAAGGATGAATCGAATGTAGTGGTTACAGACAGAAATCTAAATATTCCTGAATATATTCTTGTAAAATCTACTTGTTTGAGACCATGAGAGCCCTCTCCCTCTCTTTTCCCTCCCTTCCTTCTCCTTGCTTACAAGTTACACCCAGTGCATTTACTGCTTTCTTTTCTTCTTGTTTTAGATGTCATTTGATGAAAAAGTTCTTGCCAAAACTAACTAATTTTAATGAGAATCACATTTTTGTCATTTTTTTGCAATCACTGCTTTTGAACATCACCATAAAGTTGGATATTTATCCCCCCCCCCAAAAAAAAAAAAAAAAAAAAAAAAAAAAAAATCGCCATAAAGTTGGATAATTTATGTAATTTTTTTTCTTCTTCTATATATATATATATAATATCTACTGTCTATTTTTTTCCTCTTTTTTTTTTTTTTTTTTTTTTTTTTGAAGGCAGAGAGAGGGGTGGCTTCCAAGGGGACAGGGTTGGGTTTAGTAGGATGTTTATTCTAAAACATGCAACTTTGCTGATTTCTTGTACTTTTAATCTGGTTACAATTTGGGTCACTGATTAACAGCATGCACTGATAACCATGTTAGCCAGTTTCTTTTCTCTGATATTATTTTTGCATATTTGTTTTGGTAGGAAAGTTACTTTCTTTTGATATCTTAGTCATCATGTTTCCCCCTTTTCTTTTGGGCTCATCAAATTTCCAAGTTGAGGAACCTTCTGCGAAACAATACTGATTTTGTGGTTCACTAATCTCTTCTTGTATGATTCCATGTGGCACAATTAAATTAAACCACCTCTCACCTGTTCACCTAATTTAGTTTTGTGAACATTTGAAGGTATCATTTTGATCAGCAGCGGCTATTTCTTTCCTTGAAGAACACTGGTACCCTTGATGCATTATTGTTGCAGGTAGACTTTTTGTGCTGTTTGTGATCTGATATTGACATTGCTTCTAAGTTCTAACCTTTTATTTTAAAAAGAAATGGATGTTTTTAAGAAAAGGAACAAACTACGTTTATTCATTTGTTAAGGATTTTGACATGGACTTGCTACACATGTAACTAAACTTCTTTGACATGCTTTCCAGGGCAAGGAATATATCCTTGTGGTGAAGTCAGATAACCTGGGAACAGTGGTTGACTCAAGTATCCTTAATGTTTTTTTTATGGGAATATTGTAGGCTTTACTAAGATATTCTTGATCTTGAAAGAACATCTGTTGCTGAGATTGTATCATTGTTGTTATTGTGCTTCTTAATTAGATGTTTCAGAAATTCTAAATCATCTTGTCCAGAACCGGATTCAATACTGTATGGAGGTACCATTGAGTGGTTGCTACTTCTTTATCTCACTCCAAAACTGTTTTGTTTCTAAATGTGTCATATTTTTAGGTGACACCCAACATCTCACCTGATTTTAAAGGGGGCATCCTTAGTTCCTATGAAGGGAAGTTTCAGGTTGGTGGCATTTCTAATTCCTAATGTTTTATTTTCATAAACCAACACCAAACCACCTTCTAGTGCAAATTTAGCTTGATATTCGTGGCGTGGTCAATGAAAATATATTGATGTATAGGTGGCTAAGAAAGTATTGTGACTTGGTTTAAATTTTGGATACTAAGGGGTTGTTTGGGGTGTCCTAAATAAGTGCACTTTTTGTCTTTTTGGACTAAAAAGTTGAAGGAAAAAATATGGATGTTTGGGTTAACTTTTTGACTTTTTATGAAAAATGTGTAATAAAAAATTGTAAAAATTGGTTTGTAGAGGAAAATTAGGATTGAGAGTTGTGCAGCCGTAATTGTTGACTTTTGGTGAATAGTGTTAACTTTTTAACTTTTTGAGGAACTTTTTGACTTTTTTTAAGTATCCCAAACTTGGCCTAAATTGGAATGTAAAGCTATATTATACTTGATTGAAGATGATTCAAGTGATTCTCCCTAAATCGTCAAGAAAATTAAAACAAAATATTGGTTCCCTAATGCTCGTTATCTGTGTTTTATTTAACTAGCTTATATTTTTATTTCTAGGGCAAAATCCACTTTGACCCCTTGTGGTTTGGCCTCATAACACTTATTTCCTGTTATTTAAAAATAGCCAAAAAAACCCTCATGTGGTTATGCTAAATCTATTAACAACAAATGTAAAATGACCTTAATAAGCCTGTGTGCTTTTTCCTTCATTTATCTTTTCCTCTCTGCTGTTATACATCTAATTTTAACTTGACCACATATTAACCAATTAAACCACATATAATCCTCTAATTTCTAACTTTTGAACTTCATTTCTAATTTCATCTCAAAGTTCATTATAATATATGTACACAATTTATATATACACACATACATAATTGTGCATGTACATATATAAATATATGCACAAGTATATCCAGAACTAATGGCAAGAAGTTGCTCCCCATTGCATATCCAAACTTGTAGACGTGAAGGCATTGTGCTGCAGAGTGAATGGAAGGAGTAGAGGGGGTTGTGCAGTACATGGGAGGAGGTGGTTAAGGGGGTGAGAGGGGTTGGGGAGGAGAAAGGGGGTGGTGCGAGATGGTTGGGGAGAGGTCAGAAGGTGGCAGGGTGCAGGGACAACGGGTTGGTAAGGATGGTGGGGCGGGAGGTGGTACAGGTGGTGGGGGATGCTTGGAACCTGCCTGTGGGTGGTGGGGTGGTAGGGGAGGTGTCTGGTAGTGGTGAGGGAGGTGGTTGTTGGTTTAGAGTTAGGGTTTTTAATAGATTAGGCCGATGAAGATGAAGTTAAGGATATATTTATCCTTTTACCTTAAAATTTGATTTTGACATTTTCTCTCGTGTTAACTCTTGAAATAGGCGTGTATAGTCCACTTTTCATCACTTTGAATGGAATTTTTAATGGTAGGGAGGTAAAGTGCAAAATAGGCTTGTACAGTCAACTTTTCGTCACTTTGAATGGAGTTTTAATGGTAGGGAGGTAAAGTGCAAAACTGCCAAAAACCATTTGAGGGGTCTTTAACTATTTTTAAATAACAGGGTAAAGTGTTCTGAGGCTGGACCACAGGGGGATAAAGTGGATTTCCCTTTATTTCTAATTGCTTCTCCATTGGTTGAACGGATAAAATAAATGGCTTGCACTTTCCTGGTAGCTTGATGTTCGGCAGTCTGTTTTCGACGTAGTCCAGAACAGTAAACAACTTGTAACAAAAGGGAAAATATTGCTTCCTAAGTGTGGAGTGGAATTTGCATCTAGAATCTCCTTTTGAGGGGAATGATGTGATGAGCCACTAGAAGCCTATGCTTCTCCATTGGTTGAGCTGATAGAAGACAGACTTCTAAAAGTAGTTAAGCTTCTCTTTCTAATGAAACTGAAGATTGCTGTAGTTTTTCAACTTTTGTATCTTATACCGTATGTTGACAATCAACAACTAAGGTTTGGCTTATGTACAGAGAATTTCAATTTGGAAATTAATTTTCTTGTCCAGTTATAGTTCTCATATCTTATTCTTACAGTGTGAAGTTAAATGCTTTCTTCGCCTGCACATAATTATTATGTTCTAATTTTGGTATTAACTGTGAATCACTAATAGATTTTGGTTATTTCCCATTGATTGTTAGGTTCCTGTCAGGATGTTCATAAGCTATTGCTGATGTTTTAGAAAGTAAAATGACATGAAAATTATGACTGGAAAATCTAAAGAAACCATTTAGAAAAGGCTGTCATTTTCACAGACTAGGATTCCAACTTGAAATTTACTGAAACCACATATTACAATTCAATTGTACTTTCTATCCATTATGGCCTGAATCGAGACGGTCAAAATGAATTCAAATTTATCATTATTGTTGGTCAATAAACTGAGACATGTTTTTAACTAATTCAAATCAAGTATGATGAAGTGGATTTATAGTCAACTAGTCATTGATGCATGGTGAATTAGTTCAGCACTGTGTGTTTTGATTATAGCCTTGACTGATATTGTCTTGTCATGGCGTGATGCAGCTCTCAGAAATTGCACAGATACCTGACAAACGTGTAAGATGAAATTTTCTTGCCTCCCAATTTCTGACCCCCTGTGATATTTATATTCTTTCCATTGCTAAATTGGATTTGTATGTGAGAAATGTTTCCTCATAAGATTGTTGTAGCTTCATTTTTTATTTTCTCTAATTGATCATCCTCTTTTGTGTTTGGTCCCGACTACTAAATTCAAGTCAGCAGAGAAGTTCAGACTTTGTGATACAAGTAACTTGTAAGTGAAGTATGTTTAATTGTTCTTATGCTTCAAGATATACTTGAAATCCATATCAATGATATTTTGTACAGGTGGGTGAATCTGAAGGCCATAAAAAGGCTTATTGAAACTGATGCACTGAATATGGAAAATTATCCAGTTTCAAAGGTGTCATCACTTTCTCTTTTATTGAAATTGGCATGGTAAAGCTCAATGATATATGATATTTATGAAGTTATTCTTTTTCCCAGAAAGTGAATAATGATGAAATTCGCTTGCAAGAAACAGAAGCAAGTTCAGCAATACGGGTAATTATCATATATACCCCAAATTCTTCTTGTACACTGTATTGTTAAATGCTGATTCCTATTTACGTTTATAATTGAGCCAGTTCTTTGATCGTGCCATTGGTGTTACTGTTCCACAATCTTGCTTTCAACCAATGACGAGAACATCAGATTTACTAGTTGTCCAGGTTACTGTGGGTCCTGTCATTGTTATATTTTCGTAATGATGGTTGTTGATTCTAGGCTTTGACGTTTAGTTATCATATTTTGTTTTTTATGCAGTCAGATCTGTACACCTACACTGAAGGCGTTTTAACCCGAAACAGTGCTAGAACAAATCTTGCTGATCCTTCAATTGAATTAGGACCTGAGTTTGAAAAGGTAAAATTTATTCTAACTTGTGTTTTATGTTTTATCATTGTGTTTAATGTTCTTTTTCTTCTTTCTTCTCAGCTTAGTGACTTCCAGAGTCGTTTCAAGTCAATTCCTAGCATCATCGAGCTTGATAGCTTGAAGGTGATGGGTGATGTTTGGTTTGGGACTGGTATAATTCTCAAGGTATCAAATATGTTTGTGCGTCATTTTCACACTGCTTTATTGAGAAGTTGTTTCTAGGAGAGAGCTTTTGTAGGAATTTTCCCTGAGAAAATCTTGGTAACATCAAGAAATTTTGGAGGGAAACTTCAAATTTAAATTTGTGTGCAAAATTGAATGCTTAAGGTACAATAAATCCAAAAAAAATCCCTGAACTTTCTCTGTACTTTTCTTCTCAACCAAACAAGGGAAAGTGAATAGTATTTTTCTCTTTCCTTCCTCTTTCTTCTTTTGTTCTCTCTCTCTCTGTCTCTCTCTCTCTCTCGTCTTGTGGAAGGTTCCCTTGACTGATTTTTTATTTTATTTTTTATAATTCAATTCCCCAAAAGCTTTTGTGCCATGTGCATGGTGGGTTGAATTCCTCATTATTTCTTTCAAAAACTGTATCTGACCCTGCCCCTTTGGTTTAGGCAAATTATCCTTGGTCCCAGGAGAACAAATGGATCCTTTCCCTTGCAGTTTGTCATAAAACTCACAAATCACAATATTCTCCTGAAAAACCGTCTCTAAAAAGTTATTCACAATTAGCAAAACTTGTCTGACACATGTCCTGTTGTAAAAATCTTGTAAAATAATAGGGCACATTTTGACTTGCGTACTTGTATTATAGAGTGTTCGATGACTGCAGATTCCCATCTCTAATACATGTCAAGAAACACCTTCATATAAATATATTTGTGCTTCTTAGTTTGAAGCATTAGGATTTGAACGTGCATGCATGACAGTTGATAGTATAGTTCTTATATCAACTTAACTCTACTGGCAGAATGAAGGAATACAATAACCCTCACGTCTTAAGATAAATTTAAAGAAAATCTTCACTAGTCTTCACATTGAGATATAGAATTGATTTATAACTATTTTTGTGAACTGCTTCTTTGACATCTTGTGTTTGATGGTTTGTTTTTGAAGGGCAAAGTTACCATTGTTGCAAAACCCGGTACAAAATTAGAAATACCTGATGGAGCAGTTATTGAAAACAAGGTAAATCCTTTATCAGATTCCATTTGTTTTCACTGTAATTGATTGTTATCCTGATTTAGTTGAACTTAACTAAATAAAATTCATCCACTCTTTATTTCCGTTTCCAGGAGATCAGTGACCCAAGGGATATATGAGGATCCTTAAAATTTTTGTTGCACGCCGGTAGGAGAAGATAAGCTGCAAAATGTTTTGTTGTAACATGTAATGCATTGAGGCATATATCCCTCCGTGTTCGGGTTTTGTTTCTATAAAATTTTGTTTGATTAAGCATATTCTTTCTTTCTTTGGTAGAAGATAGCACTATTGATAGAGCTGACCAACTAAATAAAAATTCGTGACGTGCGAATTTCATGTCGAGCTTGAAGGCTACTGTTGTTAGGAGAATTGAAACTTATTTCCCTAGTGTTCTTGTTAGTTATTTTTGCTGATCTTCATATTAGCAGGCAGCCAAAAAAGGGGGGAAAAAAAGGGGTTATAAACAGAAGAAACATATGTATAGAGTACATACCCCCAAAAAAACATACCTATAGAGAACCGCAAATCGACTGTTCTGCAGCTCTACTGTAGAATATTGCTTAATCAAATTCAGCCAAATATATACATTGATCCTCAAATTTTTATTTTTTTATTTTTTTATTTTTTTTTGTTGTTGTTGTTGTCATTTCTTTATGATAATGTTTGCAAGAACTCAACTTGTTGACTCTGATGAACTAGCTCTGTAATTTTTCTTATACTTGGAAAACATTAATTTATTTCAAAATTTAACATAGTATTGTGTTTAATTGGTCTTACGTGTTGCTTCATTTTTACAATTTTTTAAATGTGTGAAAAGATATCATCTTAGATCATGTGTTTTTTAAATGAGTTAATATTTAATTGTAAAACAATGATGAAGAGGTAAAAATATTGACAATTTTAGGTAAAATTATTTTACAATTAGGTCCTAAAATGATAAATAATTTCATATGAAACTTAGATGTCAAACTTTAAAGCAAACTTTACTCTTTCTTTTTATTGTTGTGAAAAATAAATGATTTTATGAGGAGTGTAAATCAATCTAAGGAAATAAAAATTTGCAAATTAAATCTACTAAAGATACACGATAATTTTTATGTAATTTTCTCAAAGTGAGGTAGGATAACGGAATCGAAATCTGATTCCATTATCTCCAATACGTTTACAAATGAATACAAAAAGACAAGGTCTCAAAACCAACCCTTAAAGTAGGGTTATTAAACGAAATAACTCAACTTGTGCTTGACTAAGTCAAGAACTCATTCGAGATTAATTCGGTAGGTATGAGTTAGCAAAAATCTGATTTGAATGAAATCGACGAAAAAAATTGAGAGAGAAAACCAAAAATTCACAAAACATAATAGACCAATCAATGTGGTAGTATTCTAATGCCTTGAACAAATCAATGACTTCTTTGGAAGAAATGGACAGAGAGAAATAAACTAAAACTGACGTTGTATTTCTGAAATTGTTACGTGTTGTAAAGATTTGAACAAGAACAAAAATAAAAAAATGCAAAAGAATCAGGAAAAAAAGAATTTACTAATTACAAAAATTAGAAAATGATGACAAAATCACTAAATTAAAACTACTCAAAATAGAGAATAAATTACTTCAAAAAATTAAGATAATTTACTATTAAATTAAAATAGACTACTCATAAATAAAGAATTCTGATGATTTTGATGTTTTTGTTAATGTTCTTCTGCTTGCATCTTCATTGCCTATTTATAGACTTCAAATCGAAGGCCTCCACTTTGTAATTACTAGAAATATTGCTGCCATCAGAGCACGTTTCTTCTGTATGAATATCAACCACGTTTCAAACTTCCAAGCTCCAATCATCACTTTCCACAATATCTAGCACACGTCTCCTTGCTTCATGCATACAAACCCACGTTTCCTCACCTCATCCCATGAACAATTTTACATGATTATATCTCGCACCAAACTAATTATCATAATAATAAAAATCATAATATAATAATATAAATGATGATACTGGCCGTCCCGTGTGAATGGGTCAGGCTAGCCCAGGTTCTTCAGGTTCCGGTTTCGGGTGGTGATTCCGTCAAATGACCTGCAAGCAAGTCTAAAGGGAAACGGGCCAGTCCCCCAGTGAACCTTCCGGCGAGAGAATTAGTAGAGGAAAAACAGGAAAATGTAGGGAAGAAGATGGAGAGATAAAAAGTTTAACCTTATTCTTGTGCTTCTCTTGTTGCTTATATCCTTTGGTAATCATTTCACTGTCCTTTGTGACGTGCCCCCTTTCCGCCGAAAGCCTATGCCGTAGCTTACCTTGTTCAGGGTGAGGGGGCTCTGTTCCGACGGGGAGGTGTTGTCGTAATAAATGCTGTGATGGGCTGCATTAATGGTGATGTGAAAAAGGGGGGAAAAAAAGGGGTTATAAACAGAAGAAACATATGTATAGAGTACATACCCCCAAAAAAACATACCTATAGAGAACCGCAAATCGACTGTTCTGCAGCTCTACTGTAGAATATTGCTTAATCAAATTCAGCCAAATATATACATTGATCCTCAAATTTTTATTTTTTTATTTTTTTATTTTTTTTTGTTGTTGTTGTTGTCATTTCTTTATGATAATGTTTGCAAGAACTCAACTTGTTGACTCTGATGAACTAGCTCTGTAATTTTTCTTATACTTGGAAAACATTAATTTATTTCAAAATTTAACATAGTATTGTGTTTAATTGGTCTTACGTGTTGCTTCATTTTTACAATTTTTTAAATGTGTGAAAAGATATCATCTTAGATCATGTGTTTTTTAAATGAGTTAATATTTAATTGTAAAACAATGATGAAGAGATAAAAATATTGACAATTTTAGGTAAAATTATTTTACAATTAGGTCCTAAAATGATAAATAATTTCATATGAAACTTAGATTTCAAACGTTAAAGCAAACTTTACTCTTTTCTTTTTATTGTTGTGAAAAATAAATTATTTTTTGAGGAGTGTAAATCAGTAAGGAAATAAAAATTTGCAAAATTAAATCTACTAAAGATACACGATAATTTTTATGTAGGTTTCTCAAAGTGAGGTAGGTTCACGGAATTGAAATATGATTCCATTATCTCCAATAAGTTTACAAATGAATACAAAGGGACAAGAAGGTCTCAAAACCGACCCTTAAGTAGGGTTATTAAATGAAACAACTCAACTCTTATTGAGAACTCGTTTGAGATTTTTTTTTAGGCAAGAACTCGTCTGAGATTGATTCAGTATGTATGAGTTAGCAAAAATCTGATTTGAATGAAATCGACAGAAAAAATTAAGAGAGAACCAAAAATTTACAAAACATAACAGACCAATCGATGTGGTTGTATTGTCTTGAACAAATCAATGACTTCTTTGGAAGAAATTGACAGAGAGAAACAAATTAAAATTGACATTGTATTGTTGAAATTGTTACGTGTTATAAAGATTTGAACAAGAATAAAAACAACAAATACAAAAGAATTAGAAAAAATTTACTGATTACAAAAATTACAAAATGATGACAAAATCACTAAATTAAAACTACTCAATAGAGAGAATAAATTACTTCAAAAAGTTAAGATAATTTATTCTTAGATTACGGTAGGCTACTCCTAAATAAAGAACTGTGATGAGTTTGATGTTTTGTTAATGTTCTTCTGCTTGCATCTTCATTGCCTATTTATAGACTTCAAATCGAAGGCCTCCTCTTTGTAATTACTAGAAATATTGCTACCATCAGAGCACGTTTCTTCTGCATGAGTATCAACCCCGTTTCAAACTTCCAAGCCCCAATCTTCCAGTTTCCACTTATCTAGCCCACGTCTCCTTGCGTACCAACCCACGTTTCCTTACCTCATGCCATGAGCAATTTTACATGATTATATCTTGCACCAAACTAATTATCATAATAATAAAAATAAAAATATAATAATATAAATATTTATGGTCATAATTTTATGTTAAAAATAATTTACGATTTAAATCGACAGACAACCGACCATAATTAACAAAATTAGATTTGGTCACAATTAAGAAGTCACAATCAATTAAAAGAGACTTGGCCATAATCTACAGGCCACAATTGATAGAAAATTATTTTTTTGTGCCAACAATGTCCCTCTCATTTAAGGTAAAAGTAAATTTTGTCTTAAATGAATTAAAGGACAAAATTTGGACCAACTAATATGACATTTATTAATCATTGTTGTTTTTTAAGTCCTATTACAAACATTAATTTCTGGTGTGATCCACAAATCCAAAACGGATGTCGGATTCCAAAACTAACATAATTGAATGTTATAAAAATTCCATAAACTTTGACACTTTAAACAATGTCAAAAAATTCATATTCAATAAACGTGAATTATTTATAATTTTTAGTCATCTTTGGCTTAAAATCATGCCCCTACGTTCATAATTTTTAGCCATCTTTAGCTTAAAATTATGCCGCTTAAGTAAATCTTCACCGTCATCTTGCGGTAGATTTTTAACATCTTTCCAGAGAATGAGCTGTTTTTTAATTTTAGCCATTGATGACTTATGAAAACTCTTCAAAGTCATGTTACCTTCATGACCTGGTGTGTTGATCCATTAAGCCACACTATTTTTATACATTGGCTCTTCATGAAAACAATTTGTAATTTTTTAGCCAAATTGAATTCTAATATGGTTTTTAGTTTTGCAAAATTTCTTGTCTTTCATGTAGAAACATGCTTTCCAATAATTGCTCTGTTCAAAGAAGAAAAACATTTCTTATTTTCATATATGAGCCATTAGTTTGGCCCAAGATTGGATCTCTATGCATATCCATTTGCTCCTTCTTTGCCATCACTCCAAATTAGACAAGCCCCACTAGGTGTGACAAAATAAGTTAGCAACAATTTGGTTTGGAGTAAATCAACAGAGAAAAGTTGACAAATAAAATTAATTTTTACAAACAACAAACAAATCAAGTAATGTGATTGATGTTCTTTGCCTTGACAGTTTTAAGGACTTTTTTGGAGGTAGCAATGTGAAGAAATAGAGAAAAACAACAACTGAAACTTGATTAATGACACCCAAATTTGTCACTTAATTATAAGAATTAAATTACAAGAATCAAGTATTACAATCGACAAAGTTACAAAAGCACTGGTTACAAAGAGTAACTGTTAATCTACTCCCAATTATATGTACTAAACTAATCTTAGATAAGTTAAATTATTCCTAAATTTCACAAGTGTTGTGAATTGGGTTGAAGGTTCATTCTTCTTCGAATTTCCAACTTTTATAATGCTATATGATGTAACTACATGCTCCAGAAGGAACAGGCCGGGTCTATCCATGCTTCTCAAACTGTTATCCAATTGATGATGCTTACAGAGAGACCTACAAAAAAGTTCAACGGGGAACGGGGAGTCCCCCAGCAAACCCTCCGACGAGCAAGTTAGAGGGGTAAGAGTGGTAAATATGTAGAGAGGGGATGGAGATAGAGAACTTAACCTTTTTTTCGTCTTAGAGGCCTGCTTATATCCTTTGCTCATCATTTCCTTGTCCACTCCGAGCTGTCATCTTGGCCGAAAGTCTATGTTCTAGCTTGCCTTGTTCATAGTGAGGCTGTTCTGTTCCAATGTGAAGAG